TCCCCGGAACTTTTCAATTTGAATTCCCCTTGACAGTGGTACAGGAGCTAGCAAGGAACAGTGGCTAATCTTTCGGTTGGAACAAAAAACCGATGCTCAGTTAACATGTTTGCGTGTACGTAAAAGAACCAATGACAGGTGGCCGTAGTGCCGGTGACAGGTAACAATGTCCCTCGTAGCTCACTACTTGGCGTATGCCCGTCCACATTACCCCGATTGTCACAGTAGTAGGACGGTATTCTACACAAATTTAACAGCCAACGCGTTCTCATGTCATGCACCAATAACAGTTCATTCTGAACATAGAGAACCGCTACTATGGAGAAAGTAGAACTCCGTATTATTTAGTGTTCGGGCAATAGTTTAGTATACGATAATTACAGTCAACACTTTCTTGTGTGACAGGCAAACATCTTCGAACTTGCGCAGATACAAGATCTGGCTGAATAGTTATAGCCTATCCGTTAAAAATCTGTAGGTCTACAAAGTCGATGGATTCCATTTATTTTTCTACATAGTCCCCTTCGAGGTGTACATACTTTTGCAAACTTGTTGCAAGGCCTGGATGCCGGTCAGGAAGAAATTTTCTTCAGCCACCCTAAAAAAAAGTCGTTCACAGCTGACATAACATCACCATTACTAGGAAAATGAAAACCGAATAGTTCCTTTTTCATTTGAGGAAACATGTCTCATCCATGGTTACAAATCTGGCCAAAAAATTATTAGGGTCTGCTTCAAAACGGCGCAGGTTGTCACGGGACGTCAAGAATATGATGTTTGTCCATTTCTGGTGATTTTAATCGGTAGATTCACAAGATAGTCTGGTACAAAGACCATAATAACACTACAGTTGCAGTTCTATATGTCTACGATTCATTCACTGATTGTACTTGTTGGTGGCAAAAGTTTGGTTCAGATCATTATTTATATTTTTTTATTTCAAGAAAAATCGATCGTTTCCGTATATGTTAATAAGTCACGTGATATCCCACATTTGCATATCAAACATACTGCTCTGCGCAAGATGCTATGTAAAAAGCGCGAAGGACAAATGAGATGCGGCAGAGCGCAAATGTAAAGTGTAAGGAGAGAAATGTTAAAAAACAGCATTTCGCAATAAAACATTTGTCATTTGACACATTCATTTTCCGTTTTAATTTAACTTTGGCCTTGGTGGTATTTTGACTTTATCATTACCATTTAGCGCCACCCACAAGAAAATCATCGTGGAAAATTCCGAGGAACTTTATCGGCGAACAACATCATCGAAAGCTTGACCCCGTCTTACTTGGTCATTCAGCTAAGGTGGATCCCCTATCTGTAGGCACAAACAGAATGGCTTCCGAATCTCTCCCGTAATCAACCACGTCGTTGCATTTGAAGTCCATAACCTACAAGCCCCTTTCCCCAACATCTTTGCTGTAACTGTAAGTTGTGACTAAGACGGGGTCAAGGTTCCGATCCCAGTGTTCGCCGAAAAATGTTTAGACCTCCAGATAAAATGGAAAATCCAAGTCCAGTTTATGCCACGTAGAAGATCCTTTGTAGTAGACGGTTATGCCGCTGCCCGGCCCAAATTTCCCTCACAGCATACTGCTAGGCGTACTTGCAGTTGGTGCAGAAGAGTAGAACGTAAAAATTTCATTATATTTCCTACGGATGTCGGCCATACACATGCCAACAAGCGAGTGTGTCGTCTTTTAGCATGGTTTTTAGACTCCGTTATCCAATAGAAGAATGACCCAAAAACCTTATTCTTCTTGTAAATTGTAACGAAAATATATTTTGTTTAAAGTAGCAATATTATTAGCAGTTAATAAATAACAACAAACCAGTCTTTGTATAGAGTTAAAACATACATAGTCATCTACAAAGTTATTGAATCTTACAAAACATTCAAATTTCTCAAGTACAATGTTTGAAAACTAAAAATCTTAAATTGATAGGCTACAAAAATAACGGCTGTTTACAGTAAGTGACGCAATAGACGGAAACAATGGAACTTATTCAAAAATATTCCAAGAAACGGGGCATATTGAAACATGAGTATAATTAAAAGCTGATTATATAATGACAACAAATTATTCTGCCTCGCACAACTGCTCTGCTTTAAACCTACATTCTCCCGTCAAAAGGCAAAACCTAGTAACTCACTTTTGAGTTAGGACCAAATTTGTAGTTACAAGGGTATGTGCTTCCCGTTGTTGTACTAGATCTTCCAATCTTTTGATTTTGTAAGCAGTTTCAAACCTAGCAACTTCCTTCATTTATCTAGAATACCATAACAAAACCTAGTAACTCAATAGTCAAATCAATGGATGAGCTGGGGTTTAATATTCATTCATTGCGTTTTCCTTTGTTTTCTCAAAATAAGAAAAAAGTGAGTTACTAGGTTTTGCCTTTTGACGGGAGCATTATGTAAGAGCTAAATTCTACCTATTGTCGATCATTCTTTTGGCTGCAAATGTTATATAAATGATTAATTGGACACTCCTTCACCTTACAGGCCCATAATCAACCCTCCTCTGGCCGTGATTGTGAGTGGATCAAAACACAATCGCCAATTAGTAATTTAACTTAAAAAATGAAAATCGAGACTTTGTTTATTTTCTTTGCAAGAGTACTTGACAATCGGGGCTATATTGTCAAAACTTCAAACACTCATAAGTTCTCTCAGAATCAATTAATTTGACTGAAAATTTGAATTTACATGTATTAAATTTTCATTAGCTATTTTTAAACTATTGTAACAGAACGACCAGCTCTCTGTCTGAATATTAAGGAGCATTTAACCTTTCAGAAATATTGTATTAGATTAGTATTGGCACTCTTCACTCAACGACTATGGAGTTGCGATTGTCGAGGTTGCTGGGGAGCACCGTATTAATTATTAAACATTCTGTCAACATTAGCTTGAATCTGTGCTAAATGATCATAATAATCCTGGCCAAAATAAAATATACATTGGTCCATTGTTAATATCATATCATCTAAAAGACATTCACCATTTTCTGTCATTACATCAAAACAGTACTTTGGTACCTCGGATACATCATCTAATTCCCCTGTAATAAAACATACCATATATTAAAGCCTCATTGTGTGAATTTAGCACAATAGTGTGAACAATTGATCTCTAATAGGAATATCCGCTTAAAAATGATTCAATTCCATTCAGTATTAACAAAGATATGTTGAATTACAATTTTGTTGTGGGCGAACAGATTTAATAGACCGATCTTAAAGGACAATATTGGTGCCAGTCATTATCACATGTGTTAGAGCTGGTTAAACACATTCCAAATATACTTTTAACACAGAGATCATTGCTACGATAGCTGAGTAATACATGTTTCCCGAATCGGAAGTGACGAACGCCAAAGGAAAACACGAGTCGCCGCTCTATATAACTGACTGAAGCGACGAGTGATAACAGATACACGGCCGAATTTCTGCTCACTAATAATTCCTTCGAAGACCAAAAGTTGTTGTGTGAGACTGTGAGAGGATACCTGACAATTCATAAAAAGAATTGACTGCCACTAGATAAGAGAACACGAAAGAAAAACAGAAAAAGTCCGTGCATTACCTTTTTTTTATAAGGTATAGAATGAATATAAACAAGGGAATGTACAGACTATTTCTATTTTTCTATTTCTATTGAATTGTCAGATATCCTTTTAGAGTCCCATATAACAACTTTTGGTCTTCGAAGGAATTATTAGTGAGCCGAAATTCGGCCGTGTATCTGTTATCAGTCGTCGCTTCAGTCAGTTATATAGACGGTGACTCGTGTTTTCCTTTGGCGTTCGCCACTTCCGATTCGGGAAACCTGTATTACTCAGCTATTGTAGCAATGATCTCTTTGTTAAAAGTATATTTGGGATGTGTTTAACCAGCTCTATCACATGTGTGATAATGACTGTCACCAATATTGTCCTTTAAATCCGATTTAATCCTGACCGGGAGATTATGTAGCGTTGCAGGGGGTTGGATGGTCCAATGGCTTAGCGCATGCCGGTTAGATCATTAGGTCTGTCACTGAGTCAAGTGGTGTGGTTTTGATTCCGCTGCTTGTACGTGACATGGAGTTGGTTTCCCCCAACATTAAAGACCCTTGGGTGCAAGCAGATTATTGAAATAAAACTGAACCATATTAGGTTAGTGCCGAAATAACCTAGTTTGTGTCGAGTAGACATAAAACCCCATTTATCTCTCTCTTATATAACGTTGGTATTTTGGTTATATTTTCTTAATTAAATGTTTAAAAATCAATCTGAGTACATATTAGCATGGATTAAACATACATTATGCAAGAGCTAAATCTGTCTATTAAGGGCCTTTCTTTAGGTCTGAAATGTTATCTAAATTATTAATTAGACATTAATTAACCTATCAAGACCATAATCAACTCTAGATGGCATCGCTAGCCTGCGATCTTAAGTGGATTATGAGCCGATTTACTGCATAGCTTTCATGCACGATTTAACGATTAAATGGATAATTGAGACTCTACTGTTTATCGTACTGACTTTAGTAATGGTGATCGAGGCTAGGCGGAAATTTCAAACGCTTAGTTCTCGGTTCATAGTGGATCAATGTGAATGAAATTTTCAGCAAATTGCCTTTACATTATCTAGTTTTTAACTATTATAGTGAGAACTGCCAAATCGTTATCGAATCTCCCATAATTTATCTTTAAGCCATGAGAAATCTGATATTTTAGTGAAAAATACAAATGAAAGATTGGTACTGTATAAACATATTATTACACTTTATAATAGATGTTTAGAGTCTCGTCAACAAAGTACTTCGATCATTTTAGAATAACATAATAATGTTATGACCCCTTAATCATCATCAACCGTCGACTTAGGCTTAGATACGAAAAAGATTTCGGATTCTCAAAATTTGACACTATTCCATAATGGCGATAGATTCAGGTACCGGTAACGATTTTCACTTTTGTCCAAAAATTTAAACATAAATAAACTTCATACTTAGCATTTGTGGTGGACATCTAAAACCCATGTCTGAAAAACAAAAATAAATACAGAAAATTCATATAAGAAAAAGAAAGAAAAAAAAACACACACACACACACATTTGACTTCCGGTTGAGATTGACTGTATTTGGTTTACTTTGCTTTTTTTTCAAAATATCTAAAATGACAATAAACCCCAAAATTTATTTGTTGATTTGCCTTCTGGGATAAACAACGGTCTTCGCTGAAAAGTTATATCCAGCGATTAAGCCATGGTTAAGATGGCAAGCCATTTTATATCATTTTCACAGTCGACAATTTAAGTAAACAGCAAACTATAACTTAAAAGCAGACAGACTTCCGCTCATGGGTACAGAGGAAATTTAACGGTGGGCTTACCTACCTTATCCCTATGTCCAGAAACATGACCCCCCCCCCCCCTTCTCCTTAACGCATATGTTACCATAAAAATATAAACAATCGTATCGGTAAAATCTATTTTACTTTAGCTAATATATACATATATATATATAGCTTTAATTAACTATTCTACTATATATTTTTATTTATGTATAATAAAAAAATATTTACTTGGTATTGGCGATCCGGCTAAAACACAGGCAACCTGTAATTATACCAAACACGTATGCATTAATACTTCTGTCAACATCTGGAAGTACTGATTGTATTAATTAATGTTGGAATCTGATTACGTTTGAGTTTGGTGATCGATTCAATCTGATAAAAAAAAATTGCGTTTTGATATTGAACGTCATTGGCATCTTACATATTGAATAATCAAGTCGTATGTATTTTCATCAGTAATTTGAGCGGGGGTGGAGACCATATCATCACGTTTTGCTTGAAGTCAGGAGATTTACCAGATATTTTATAAAAACGAAGATGCTCTTGGAAAATATTTCTGCTCATTTAGGTGCATACATGTATAGGACTCGAGTGGAATAAGGCCAAATCGGCGGCAATGCTTTCATACGTTTGTTTGTTCGTAGTTATTTAGAAGAACGTAGCAGAGAAAAAATTTGCTCCGCGCGAGCATGGTGAAAAATATTGTTTGTTGAGATTTGCACGGGCTCTTACAACCCGCATATCTTCCTTAATTTCCATTTAATTGAACTAAAGATTATCAACAATGTTGTCATTTTTTTGTGAAATCATTTAAACTTTGTGTTGAAATATGCATATCTACAGGATATATTTCCTTGTCAGTGCTTTTTTGCCTCAGAAAACAGGCGGATCAAGCGACCTTGGTGATTCAGATCAAGGTTGGTGGTAATTACAACGGAAGAGACGGCAATACCGACGATTTCGCGACGACATCTAGGTTCGAGAACGTAGCTAAAAACGTTGAGATATACTGATTTCTTGGGACAGAAATGAAATGAAATGAAATGGGGTTTAACGTCCTACTGTTCTGCTCCTAAACTGGGCTAATGAAGACGGGCATACTCCATACAGTGTACTATAAGTGAAATTTTGCCCGGGCAGCGGCGCTACGGCCTACTCTTATATCGAATTCCAACTGTCAAGGGATCTTTTACGTGCACGCCAATATGTACACGGGACCTCGGTTTTTCGTCCCATCCGAACGACTGGACAGCTGTCCTTGTCAGGCCCTCCGTCCTGCATCACTGACAAGGGGAAACCACGCCGGAAAATCTGGATGAACTTTCTCGGCCAATGCAGGGACAGAAGACAGAATTGTTATTTGGCTACAAGTGACAGGCTCTAATCGTCCACCCGAATGCACTTTTAATACCCTTGGCAAATGAGCGGACAGAGTGAGGTGTTTACATCATAACTATCAGACAAGGCACATAAGCGATTTTGTGTCAATTTTAAAAAAAATTAAATTCATTTGTATGAGTGGAAACCCTGTAATATCTGGGCGGTTGCTCTACAGGTATACAATATATATTTTAAATACTTACCACAGCAAGAATAATAGACAGCTTATACATCATGATAGTTGGTATTGATAATAGGAATATCTTTTCTTGGTTTAGAAATCTGATGTTTTGTCCAGACAATACAGCAAGTTGACAGTACTGGAACCACAGTAACAACTGACACTTATTATGATGGTGGCTGACTTATACTGCGTTTTACTCGGAGATAATCATAAAACGGAAATTATTATTTTATTATTTAATAATTTGATTGCGCACAACCTCTGCTCTGTGATCGTATCATGTAGAGGATTGGGTACAGGATATTATGAAAATCAGATCAATCAAATATTTAAAATTCAATATACTTTCTTATCATTCCACCTAGTTCATTAGCCCAGTTGGAACCCCATTTGTCTCTCTCTTTTAACTTCTTTTTTGTCCTTTTTAATGTCAAATTTGACGGCAATCAGACATGATTGGTCTGTAAATTAATTGTATTTAAGGTAAATTAAATTTGATACTTTGCTGCGTTGTATCCCACATCATTTCGATTAGACTGATTTAATCACACAATGTTTCATCGTTTCTAGAATAAATCTGGCACAGACGAGTTGGGTGTGGAGCACGATGTAGTGTATTTGTACTCACTGATATTTATTTAATCATACCATGTTTCATCGTTTCTGAAATGAAATGAAATGGGGTTTAACGTCCTACTGTTCTGCTCCTAAACTGGGCTAATGAAGACGGGCATACGCCATACAGTGTGCAATGAGGGAAATTTTGCCCGGGCAGCGGCACTACGGCCTACTCTTATATCGAATTCCAACTGCCAAGGGATCTTTTACGTGCACGCCAATGTGTACACTGGACCTCGTTTTTTATTCCCATCCGCACGACTAGACATCTGTCCTTGCCAGGCCCTCCGTACTGCATCACTGACAAGGGGAAACCACGCCGGAAAATCTGGATGAACTTTCTCGGCTAATGCAGGCATCGAACACCCGACCTCCAGGCTAGCGAGCCAGCGTCTTGCCCATTTACCCACCGTGATCTCCTTCATCGTTTCTAAAATAAATCTGGCACAGGCCTGTTGGGTGTAGAGCACGATGTAGTGTATTTGTACAGGCCACTTGCACTACACATAGTGCCGCTCAATATGCATATAGACCAACATTTTGTTCGTGTTTAATCACACCACGTTTCAATCGGATCAATTAACATGCTGATAGAGCTATATTGTTTAATTATGTAAATAAATCTATACTGAGTGACTGTCGTTTGTTTGTCTGTCTGTCCAGGGTTGGCGGCTACACTAGGGTTGTCCCAAGATTGAAATTTGGCTTATAGAGGTAGCTTGGACCGGGGCGTAACACAGGTCTAGTGGCGATGGACTATCACTTCCGGTTTCGGAGTTATTCTACTTCCGGTTCATGGATATACCCGTGCTCCGCCGGGTCAACCCGCTAGTTAATTATAAATATAGAATCGAATATGTATGGGTCTCACACTCACAAGTTACCTTTATTTTAAAACATTGATGTTACTTCCGCAGTGTTACACGTGTGTTCGATACGAGGAGGATAGCCGCGTCTCTTTGGTTACATGTACACATTTTATTGCATCCAAATCATTAAGATAAAAACAAATTACTTTTGAAAATTGCACTATTGTCCGTTGATGTTAATGATTTTAGATTTGATTTGTAGGGTTACATACGACATGTTTGGATTCGACTGTATGTTCTAGTTGCAATAAATCTGTCAAACCATAATTGAGGCAAATGCGTTGTTGCCTTTTAATTCACGAGTCATGCATGAATTTAAATGGTTTTCAAGGAGTTAATAGAGCCCTCGTTGAATATGCGATGCTCTAGGTACGTCAGTGTTTAGATTTTGGATAAGTATGTCAAACAAATGTCATTTTAAAAATGATGTTATTTTGATGGAGTAAGTTGAACGGTGGTTGGTATTATTACCAAAACAAACAAATATAGCACATTAGTAACATAACAATAAGAAACTAATCATCCAGAAATTTTCACAAAAACCAATTTTATTCTTTTAAAAAATATATAAAACTCCACCAAATTCCATAATGATAAAACGTATTAGATGTCAGCCATCTTGAAAAAAATGTTCTGCATCAATTCGAGAGAGAGAGAGAGAGAGAGAGAGAGAGCAATGCACGGAGGGAAATTAGGTTCCGTGAAACCGCTGTACATCTATGATTAAAGATACATTATTCAAGAGCTAGATTTACTAATGCAGGTCTTTCTAAATTATTAATTAGACATTTATTAACATGCCAAGATCACAAACAACTCTCGATGCCATCGGCTGTCCAAGGATTAAATAGATTAGAATGGTTCGCCCATTTAATGATTTACGATAATGGAGGACCGAGTCTCGGATATACAAGTACCGTGGTTACGATAATGAACAATCAATGCAACAAACAACAGCCATAACTTAGCTCAGAATAAAGTAATTTAAATGGACTTTTCAATATATTCATTTTGTAGTATCTTTTTGTGAACAATTATAGCAAGAACGACCAGCTCTTTATCTAAATCTTACATAACGTATCTTTAAATCAAGAGGGCCCCAAATATGAATAACCAAGGTGCCACGATTCTTAGCATGGATTTTTGCATGGTTCGAAAGGAAAACTTGGACAATTTAGAACGAGTGGGAAACCCCAAAAGCACTGTATGTATTGGCCACATTTGAATGGATGAGACAGCGTTGCGCTACCGAACGAAGGACACATCGGCTGACAACTTTGTTTTTGGTCATCCCAAAGTTCAATTTGTTTACATCTGTAATTTCGGTTGAAGAACAAGGATCTGTGGATTTAAAACAATAAACACATGACCAAATTAACATTACAAATAATCATAGCAACATTATATTGTGGGTGGTATTATAACAAGCCCCGCCCTTTGGAAAAAACTGTCGATTGGTTGGTTGGTTTGTCGGGCTTAACGGCCGATTCCATCCAGGGTGATATCGCGGACAAATACTGTCTACAAATACTGTCCTTTATAGCAGTGCTTGCCTTCTGGTTGGTATTTAAAGATCGATTCCAGAAAAGAGGTAGGAGTAGAATACTTCGCTACTTACAATATGTTGGAATACATTAATCTGTTCATTAATGACCATGTTTAGTTCAGATGGATGTCTTCCCTGTCAAAGTCTATAATTTTCTGATTTTTGTGCGGGGGGGGGGGGGGCGTGTTCGATCTCGGCATCACTCCTGTTTGACTTAGTTGACTTGGTTTTTTGTATAGTATGGTTTAGATGATCCATTATTGCTAACTTATACTAATTACTTATGTCCTGGGTTGGCTGGGGCTAGTAAAATAGCATTTAGGGAAGTGGGAGGGGGGGGGGGTCTAATCTAGGGCCCGGCCCATTTGTAGTACCCTTTCTAAATGTGATATAATTATCTCCTATGTTCTTCCCTTTTTAAATAGGTTTTTATTAGATTTAAACCATGGTGCTAGTAATTTTGTTAGAAGAACCATCCTTCGTTTCGGTAATAAGCCTGTAGAACTATTGTCGACTGAATCCTATTCATATCAATTTAGTTTATCAGTCTGAAATACATGTACTAATTCTCACCACAAATTGATGGAAACCTGAGTTGTACCTCAACAGGATAATGATCACTGATGTCTAACATCTAGAATAACAAAGCATAAGCATAATTACTAATTTCAGACACGTTACGCAATTGTCATTTCACGTTAATTTCATATTTCTCCTCTTGATTGATCATAAACATGATAACACACTTGTTCATTTGAGAAAAATTAAAAACTCGGATAATTTAAACTATCGCACCAGCCCTGGCGTATATAATGGCCCATATTCCTGAAGCAATGGCCCGAGAAATCCCTCTCTGTCCATTGCTGGTTTGGCTTCTGATACTTAAACTTTGGAGGGACTTGTGTCTATTCTTCCCGTTCAATCAAATCTACCCCAAGTACAGCAACATGACAGTCCTTCTTTAATCTGGGGTCTTCCCTAAAACTTTGGACAGTGATTTAAGGTATTAAAAATGGTGAAAGTATTGTTCGTCTACAAACAGTATTACATGTATTTACAGTGTAGCCGTTTTTGATAGCCTCGTTTGTCACGCATTTAGTTTTTCTGCAATAGTCTGCTATGCACTGGTTAATTGGGCGTAATAAATTTCGCGAATCATGATGTAACGTTATTGACCAGTCATAATTTGGAACAGAAATTTGCATTCATTACGGCATTGGTAAGTGGGTTTAGACCTAATCAAACGAAATCTGTGAGGTGCATGATAATGTCTATACTTTCCAGAACAGTTGACAACACTTCTTATTAATGGACGGTTCTCATAGTTAACCATTTACCTTGCACTTGGTAGTCGCCAAAACCTAAATATGCAAACCTTTTATAGGCACCTAAGCAAAAAGGCGAAGGCGTTAATCAGATAAGAAAATAAAGCTTACCTGTTCTTTAGATAAATTCATATGTTGATCAAATAAATAAACTTGTGGAGAATTTGCTACTAGAACACTGGCTAGTTCTTGTCCACGTGATATTATCCTATATAAAATACAAAATACTTCTTTAAATGTGGTTAAGGCGCTAGCTCGCTAGCCTGGAGGTCGGGTGTTGGCCGGGAAAGTTCATTCAGATTTTCCGGCGTGGTTTCCCCTTGTCAGTGGTGCAGGATGGAGGGCCTGACAAGGACAGCTGTCTAGTCGTTCAGATGGTACGAAAAAACGAGGTCCCGTGTACATATTGGCGTGCACGTAAAAGATCCCTTGGCAGTTGGAATTCGATATAAGAGTAGGCCGTAGCGCCGCTGCCGGGCAAAATTTCCCTCATAGCACACTGTATGGCTTATGCCCGTCTTTATTAGCCCAGTTTAGGAGCAGAACAGTAGGACGTTAAACCCCATTCCATTTTATTTCATTTCATTTCTATAAATGAATCGATGAAATGAAATGTTAACGTCCTTATACCTTTCTTTTCAAAACCGGTATAATTAACACGGGCATACGACACCCAGTGTGCTATGACAAACATTTTACCCGAGTAAATATAATACGCTTTTACTTTGGCATGTGTCTGACATGCATTTGGAATCCACTTTGGAATCCGCATGTGGATTCGTGAATTTGGATTTGAAAATCACTAGGAAATTAAATTTAACGTCCTACATTTCTGCACCAATGAGGCTAATGAAGACGGGCATATGTATACCATATAATGTGCTATGGGAAGCATTTTCCGCCGGACAGTCGCGTTTCTGCTTACTCTACACATTGCAACTATCAAGGGTTCTTTTACGTACACGCCGCCCGAACGATTACTGCTTTAGAATATTGTATAGAGGGTATTAACCTATCATAAGCACATTGTGATGTACCAGTAGTTGTATCTTGTGACCAGTCTATCAACCACTTGTAATTTTTATCACCATATATTTTCTTATCCGCTAAACTAGATTCACTAGCATAGGTACAATCGGCATTTAAATCCCCCATTATCATCACATCCTGCAATTATATATCCAACGATGACAATAAGTAACTATTGTCAATTCTCAGCATCACAAGTCGATATTATTAGAGGACTTCTTCAATACATAATACGCAATAATAATATCAGAATACCCTATATAAACCCGTTCCACACCACACCCCTTTTCACAGTGAACGATATTTGCGTATCTGCATTCTGCTTCGTATGCTCACCATGTCATTTTCAAATACACCCCATCCCGAGTCTTGCTGGAACAGGCGAGTATCTGTGTCCAACTGCTATGGGTTGTAAGATGTTTGATTTAAAGGCCATTAAACCATGCATTATTAAAATCTCTAATTCATTAACAATATTCCATAAAAGTGATTATGATTTTAAATTCTTCTGCGATCACGCTACTTAAAGCGTAAGATTCCATTATACCCCGCAGAGAAAGCAGAAATAATGCACCCCTTTTTGTATAATTTTTGTTGTATGGATAGCTTGCCAAATTTATATAACAAAATTTGTATACTAATATCTTGGGGACATCGTACTACAATTTCTTGATAACGGTAATATCCGGTTAGTTCCAGCAACAGTAGGTCGAATAAGGGGGATCTCAAAATTATGAGATAATGCACAAGTTGACTTTTTTCGGGGGATTAGAGATTTGCCCAAAAAGGCGATATATTTAAATGCGTTTGTTAAATACCAAGGCTTCTTGTTTCACGATCCACCCAAAAAAACCCAAACGAATCCTTGGATAGAAATACAGAAACGTTGACATGATCTCAATGAAAATTTATCAGATGTCATTGTAGTACAACATCAAATATAAAAAAGAAATATGTCAACCTGTATATTCCACTTGGACTCAACGGCCGTTCTAACATCATTTAAGGCGCCAATCTCAGAAACAGCTGCTGTGGGTTTAGAATGAAGTGCTATAATACCAAAGGCTGAAATGAAGCAAAACCAAAACAGAGAATTTGAGTTAGTGTGATATACAACATATTATTATATCTGTGACTGCTGTATGTACTGTAGTACATTTATTGCCGTCACTCCAACACGTCGGTCCTTCGTCCACATAGATCTGTTTCAAAATGGTGTTTAAATTAGTTAAACGAAGAATTCTACTGAATTTCAACAATTTTCATTAATTACTCGTTCTAACAACTTATCATCCAATCGGTCTCAAACTATATACATTCTTCAACTTACTAGGAATCCTATTGATTGCCCTTTAGGATTTCTGAAGTACAGTATTTGGTTACAAGGAAACCTTCCATTCCATTTGAGCATTAAGATTGTACCCTCTACTTACGTGCACCCTCTACTTACATGTACAGCTATTGGTAGGATGAACTAAAACACAGAAAGGTTCTCTTTCAAATACATCAGTTCCATCATCATCACCATCATCATACTGATAACTGTCCAATATCTGTATCTTATCGCTCCTTTAATATATTCACAATTTAAGATATTGAACGTAGTCAGTACAATAATTAATAATGTGCAAGGCGGTATGTGCGTAATTAACATAATAATAAATTTTATTTAACGCGGCATGAATTAATGTAGTAAGCGTAGTTATGGTAGTCAATACATGTTAATTACTGGAATTGAACGTACAGTAGTTAACAGATGTTAATTACTAGTATTGAACGAAGCTAGCAAAGGGAAATTCCTGGCATTGAACGTAGTTAACAAAGGGCAATTATTGCCTGCATTGAACGTAGTTAACAAATGACAATTGCTGTTATTGAACGTAGCTAGCAAAGGGAAATGAATGGTATTGAACGTAGCTGGCAATTATAGTCAGCGTTGCTAACTCCGGTAATTAACGTTTAGTATATAGTTTCTACTAGATGGTCTGACAATGATATTTTATGGGGTTTCCAATTCTATTTTGTTCTAAAAGAATATTGAATACATATTGAAGTTGGCGACTGTTTGATCAAGACACATGTTTAATATATAGTGTTACCTGTATAAAAAAGCATACTGTTCTTTGTAGCTACTTCTACCCAGTCTTTCGCTTATTGACATACTGTAGTTACCGTAACTGCAAAATTATACAACATAAAACTTAACAATGTATCTTATATTGGATATGCAACTTAACAATTTCTCTAATTAGGAGATAAACACTTGCTGTTTAGAATTTAGAGGACTATTATTGTCCATTTGATACCGCTTAAATCATTAGAGGCAAGATCGAGTAGTGATTGAGCGCCGCTAATGAAAAATGATCCATCTATTTCTACTTTTACTTTATCAAAGCATAGATAATGACGACAGTTTAATGGGTCGAAATTCCCTTTTAGTCTTGTTCCTACCAGGGGCGGATTGGGGCCGGTAACCGGCCCGGGCTCCCGTGTCGGTGCGGCCCCTGTTACTCACCACGGAGCCCTGATAGGGGGTCTGGGGACTTTCCCCCGGGAAAATTTTGAAAAATGAACCCCAAATATGCGATTTGGTGGCATATCTGATAATAATCTCTGTCAAATAATATAGCTCATAAATCGATTAATTTAGGCCGAAATTCTGTAATTTCATCTCTGAAAATAACGAGTTAATAAAAATGTCAAGGAATGTTTAACACCAGCCTCAGGAAATCGTTTCGCACTCATATTCAGCCAACAGACCAGCTATCATCAAATTTTGCTGAGGCCTTAAAATTGAATTTTTTGGGGAGTTACGAACCATCGGCAGACATTTCTGGCGTATCCCCACAAACAGAGTGCAGGTGACTTAATAATTAGTAAATTTGCGCGCGACAGTGTCAGGGGAATCCGATGAAATTTTGGATGAAATTCGGAATCCCCATTGCAGGATTCCGAATTCCGGCCCACACCCAGCACACCCGGCCCAGAAAGTCTATTATACCAGCTCATTCCAGGCTCCAATGATGGCGTGGCGGCCTGTTAAAGCCACCGGCCACATACAACATGATCATCATCGCTCCATGGCCGGTCCAATATCTCCCCCCCCCCCCCATATAATGTTCAGCAGAAAAAGTGTTTTTTTTTAAACGAATTGGACAAAATTATTTTTTTCATTTTTTGTCCGATCGGCCCTTCGGGCGATCGCCCGATGGGCCAATCCGCCCCTGGTTCCTACTCTTTCTAGTGAAAATTGTTGGTTCTGGTTCCGCCGATTGTAAAAAGCTTGTAGCCTACAGCAATTATGGACACCCATTCATCGCATGAGATTGCTGGAAACATACTTCCATCTGTGACTGAAGTTATTTAAAATAGTATGGTTATAGTTCCTTGTCGATCCTAAAGAAATTTGGTCAAACCTAAAGAAATTTGAACATGCTAGTTCGTTTTTGAGTTTCTATCAAAACGATCACCACAGTATTGAAACTTTTTAAAAAACGAAATAGAATTTGAATGAAATGAGATAACGTAAACCGTGTGAAATCTTACACTATAAGCTGAAAATGTGCTAAATTTCGGTTAATATGCCACTTTACACAAGTCACTTTTCTAGGGAATACAAACGTTTTAGGTATGGTTTTTTCGGTAGACCTACCAACTCATGAAGTGGGCAATTAAATATTATAGTCTGAGTCACATAATTATTCGGCCTGATATGGAAGCCGATTGTGACCATTGTATAATCTCGACTGCTCGCCTCTTGAAGTCAAAAGTCGAAAACGGGACCAACAATTTCAGCTTTATAACTTTAATTAAAAATGGCAGCAACTTCCATAGTTAACTTTTTGCCTTCTCGGTTTTACAAATTCAAGCAGGACTTCAAATTTATGTTTTATCCTAAATCCTAGAGTATCACTACTGAAAATATTACGATATACATACGCTTGCATCATTGACAGTAATTGTCTGTAACTTGATCCTGTTGAATCACGAATTTCTTGTAATAACATAATATCATACCGACTTGTGATCTGAAAAAGAAACCCCAGAAATACAAATGAAATCGTGTTTAACGTCCTAATGTTCTGCTCCAATACTGGGCTAATGAAGACGGACGGCATACAGTGTGCTATGAGGGATTTTTCCCATATAGCAGTTATACATAGCAAGTAATACACTTTGTTATTGTGTTTCACACGCTTGTTGCAGTAGCCTGTACCTCTCAAATTTAATTAAACTGCATGTTATTTTCGTCCCATTTACTTGGTTGGGAAGTCCATTAATATCAAAAGGTAGGCGTGTTCCCCATGGGCCCCTAGTGACAATATAATTGACTGTCATTCGAATATCTAGATATTCAAATTGATTCTTGTACCAATGGTAAAAATGATTATTTTGTTTTAAATATTGGACATCAGAAGCCCATCTGCTCCCGTTAAGATCACAACATCAATGTTGATTTAAATTGACAAATATTTCATGTTTTCAATGGCGAAGACTTTGGTTAATATTGAGTTGAAGACTTAGCTACGTTAACCGAACTTTCTGAATTACGGATTTGTGTGTCGTATTACTCGTATAATATGGAAACAACTGTTCAATTACAGCCTGCACATTATCCAACGCACATTCCAAACAACAAAAATGAAACGAAATGTTGGTATAATTTTAAATAAAGTAACATTTCACTCTTTTTTTATAAATTTTTTTACATAATTTGTGTTAAATCGGCCTTGAATTAAATAAAACAGAGTAACATTCTTCTCTCTTTTCGTTGAATTAGATTACCAGAGCCAGAGGCAGAGTTTTGTAGGATAGAATTGATGTCAAGGTGTCAAAGAATTAGTAAATTTACCTCGATTAAAGATACATTATGGGAGATTAGATAAAGAGCTGGCATCCTCACTATAATAGTTAAAAATTGGATAATGTATAGGGAATTTGCTGAAAATTTCAGTCAAATTGATCCACTCTGAACAGAGAATTTAGCGAGTGAATTTTAGGCCTAGCCTCGATCATCATTACTAAAGCCGGTACGATAAAAACATAGTCTCAGTTATCCATTTTTTGATTTAATCATCAATGAACGTTGAGCAGCAGATCGGATTCTAATTCAGTAAATATCGTAGGCTAGCGATGACATCTAGAGTTCATAATGGTCTGGTAAGTTAATAAATGTCTAATTAATAATTTAAATAACATTTCAGACCTAAAGAGAGACCTGCAATAGACATATTTAGTTATTGCATACTGCATTTTAATCAAATCGTTCTCTAGGCTCCCTCTATCACGATTCGCACCAGGAAAACGAGTTTGCGGCCGTCAAATTTTCCAAATTTTCTTCTGTTGGGGTGGGGTGGGGGTCTATAGGGTAAGCTCCACTCCTTCGCCTCTCGCAGACCGTCGTCTGTAATCCAAAAATGTTTTCGGGTATTTCAGGTTCTGCCCACTAGTATGCATCGAGCCCGCATGCATATAGCTAGAATGGTTTTCGATCAGAATAAGGATGAGATATCTGCAAACCACATTTAACAATTAGGGCATTGAACACTGATAACGTAAGACTATGTGTGTACCGTTAAAATTAACTAAACCTGTAATATGTGGCTATAACCCTTTAATATTTATAACTTTTTGGTGATGTCTATATACAGCAAATCCGTCACTTTTAGTGCTTTATATGTAATAAAATTGTCTCAAATAAAACTATACAAGCTATAGGATGTTTTTTTTTGTAAATAGTGTGTTAAAGCGGTAATAGATCATGGCAAGCAGCGTAATTTGTCATTTATTTATCTAATTGATGAATATGCTCGTGTACTTGCAATATTGTGGAATAATACCCAATGTGTATCTCTCCACGGCATCACTTACTGTAAAGAAATGCCATTTGTATAATTGAGAAATGTGGATATTTCGTAGCTGACCATAATATAGAATGTATTGACGCTACACAACGACTTGTTTATGGCGCTACCCGCTTGATGGTTTATCTTCAAGTCGTCACAATACTTGGGTTCGTACTCGTACTTTTGTCTAGAATCACATACGTCTCATCCAATAATCTCAAGTCTTTTGGGATAAGTAGATAAGCAAAAAAAAACAAAAAAAAAACAAAAAACGTATCTGAAGCTTGGATACTTAGCTTCCGATTTTTATAAAAGATACTCTATGTTGTCGATTTAGATATTAGAAGACTGCCGTCTCCTCACGACACCCCTACCCCTTCCTCTCCCCATCAATGTATGTATAACATCTTCTTTTCTAATGAGAAGCACTTGTCAATCCAAGTAAGTTATACTGAGTAGGCCTACACTGTCAGGTGAAATGTGGGATATTGTCGATGTAAAAATGGACTCACCTCTGCTATTCGTGTCGCCTTTGTAGAATCCGACATCTTGCTCTTCCCAAAAGTCTTGACGTTAAAAGCCCCTAAAGTTAATGGTTCATCGGAGGAAACGAAATAAACGGATAGAACAAGAATAAAGAAATAAAGACCTTGACTAACCGCCATATTTGAGATTGTAATAAACAATAATGACAATCTACCCATACTCAACAAAACCTAAACAACCGTATACAGTAAAAAACTAAGTACAGTAGGACCAAACCCTTGAATCCAAGTGCCAGGCAGTACGCTTATGCACAAAACTAAAACCGGGTGATCTAAACTTCTGTCATTTCTCTTTGAGTAGAGATAAAAACAAACTCTTGTTTGTTATTAACGATAGTCAATTTTTAAAAAAATGTGATTTTACACGAATCAGCCACTTTAGCCAACCATCTTCTTTAATATCTCAAAAATACGTCAACTATTTGTTGACAGCTGTTTCCATATTATACCACACAAAAATCTTTTCACTCAGAAGCTTTCCACAGAGCTCAGTTAACACTCTGGATCCGCCCCAGAATACCCTTATACCTGAGATATAACTAGTGACAAAGCTGACAAATCCTATTGATTTAGTATTATTATATTTTTTGTAATAAGTGACGCTCAAGTGTAAGGCTTAGTGGGTTAATTCCATAGTCGCGGTTTGACCCGATCCCCGGTTTGGATCGGTTCCTTGTTCATGGGTTTCCAGTGAAGCTGCATCAGTTATATATTTAGGTTTCCTTATCTTTATATGTAAATTTTTATTTATTTTTATTACAATGTATTTGTACGGTGTGTGTCCTGTCCGCCGGTTTGTCTTTGTCGGTGGAGCAGAACGGAGGAGGTTTGCAATGTCTAATCGGATAGCACAAAAGTCCGAGGTCCCGTGGACTCGTTGATGTGCACGTAAAGAACCTATGACAGTTTGAATTTAATTCCTTTCCCGGCATCATTTCTCTTATAGCACACCGTGTGGCGTATGCCCGTCTTCATTAGCAGTGTGTGACGTACGTCCATCTTATCCCAGTTGGTGCGGAAAACCCCATTCCATTCATTCGTTGGTGTTTGTTTATGTGTGGTGTTAGCAGGGCCTGATGCAGGCAGCAACATGACAAAAATTGTAAAACAACACTTTTTGTGAGAAAAATGTCACGATCGTGTGCTTTATCATAAGATGGTTGGTGGGATGGACATTCAAAGCGCGCGATAATGATATAGACATATGTGATATCACAAAAATGAATGCCTTGCATTAATGAAATGGAATCACAATGTGATCGTATTAATTCATAATAAAAATTTACGTCTGCAAACGGGGTGTTGGATTTCTATCTTTAAAAAAACTCAGTGTGTATGTATGCCTACGTAATTTCGAGACGATGGCATCATGCATTGTCAACTGTCAAATTTCCTTCACAGGAACCTGGCAACACCCCCCCCCTGCAAAAATTCCTGGATCCGCCCCTGGGTGTTGTACTCCTATATTTACTGTAAGGTTGGCTTGTTTAGTGTGTGTGTATGCTTCCTATTTTACTTACAAACTTGAAAAGATAACTTTTATGGTACCAAGAATAAAGTAGTACCGATTAACACCACGACACAATAATCCCCATATTAACACCAACGGGGTGTTTAAACCTATTTGTTTTATAAATTAGTCAGTTCATCATTCGAGTTAAATGAGCTAAATTTCTTTTCTTAGGCACATAGAAATGGACAGAAATGGGTCGCAAAGTATATGATGATCTTATATGCATAGAAATATATATGCTAATATGAATGTATATAAAGTGATATTATTATGCATCCAATCGTTTCTGTTTTACTGTAATTTATAATCAGTCCAAATTGATTGGTAGTCTTTGGCATATAGTTATTCCAGTCTACATCGGTAGTAGCCTATTCTCCTGTGGGATATATTTAGCCTCGTTCATCGAGTCACATCATTATAAATGGCACTCGAAAGCATTCTGGCACATGATCCGCGTGCCAATTATAAAATGTTCATTTTGTCATTTGTGAAGTCCACAAATTCACGGTAAGATAACAGCATCAATGTTGATTTAAAGAAGCTAAGTCTCTAACTAAATATCATCCAAAATCTTCGACATTGAAAATACGATTTATTTGTCGATTTAAATCAACATTGATGTTGTGATATTACCGGGAAAAGATGGCCTTCTGATATCCAATATATAAGACAAAATAAACATTTTACAATTGGTACACGAATCGTGTACCATAATGCGTTTCAGTGCTATTTGTAATAAGGGACTCTAAAAACGAGGCTAGGCATATTCCACAAGTCATGTCAAATGGTGAGGCTATATTCTTATCTGGAGAGCATGCCCAATAAATACCATCGGCGTAGACTGGAATAACCAGACGCTAGAGATTGACATTCGATTGAAAATACTGGCGTATGTCGCCGAACCTAACTGATTAGAAATTACAGTAAAAAAGAAACGATTGAATGTAAATCAATTTATATACATTCATATTACATTATTGTATGCGTTGCGACCCATTTGTGTCAATTTCTAGGTCCCAATTATTAGCGACTTAGCTCCTGTAAATTGGGCAACAAGTCGTCTTTGCAATTTCGAAGACCGTGGGTGATACTGACTTAACTCCTTAACACATTTGATTTAGGTCAAAATAAAACTTTGGGTTGGGTTGAACATGTTAATCCGATTAGAGACAAAATCTGAACGATTGAATTTAGTTTCGAAATATTATGCGAAGGTCACTTAGTTTCTAAACCTAGGTTTCACTTCAGCTGGGCCTATATCATCCCTTTCTACCCCTATCAGTGAATCCGAAATTGAAATTGTAGACAGATGCCGACTTCACATTAAGAAAATCAACACATCAAAGTGCCTAAATTTTTATTGGCCATAGAATGATAAATATTTTAATTCTTATGTCATGAGGCTTTCCATGGGACGCCTTACTCACTTCCCAGCGGGCACACAACGTTGTGACAACATTGTTCAGGGGTTGTATCACAACGTCTGAAATAGGTCAGCTGTAGGTTGTTTTGCAACAAACTCTTACGTTGTGACAACGTTGTACGGACGTCAAAGCAACATTGTCACAACGTTGTGTGGTGGTTGACGAAAAGTTGTGACAACGTTGTACGGACGCCAAAGCAACATTGTCACAACGTTGTGTGGTGGTTGACGAAAAGTTGTGACAACGTTGTACGGACGTCAAAGCAACATTGTCACAACGTTGTGTGGTGGTTGACGAAAAGTTGTGACAACTCTGTACGGACGTTCAAGCAACATTGTCACAACGTTGTGTGGTGGTTGACGAAAAGTTGTCACGACGTCAGAATTTGTTGTTTTTCAACGTTGTGTGGTGGTTGGCGAAAAGTTGTCACGACGTCAGAATTTGTTGTTTTGAGGTTGTATAAAACCCAGTATAAGCCCCATCCGAACTCCCTACAGTTCTGCCCCCACTGGACTAACGAAGACGGGAATAGGCGGCCGGGCACGATGGAAGTTAAATTAGGTGTGTGTTCGGGGAAGGGGGGGGTGTGTGCTTAAATGCCCGACAGATTTGGGCCACGGTTTTGACATAGTGAAACGATACGCGAAGTTTCAACACCCTCACTCAATTAGAATCAAAGTTATTGTGTCCCATCACAACCAATCTAATTGCTTCTTTCTGAATAAAATCAGTATCAATTAATAGGACAGTACGTAGTTTCAAAACATTCAATTCAAACGATTATATTACAGTCAATATTAATGCTAGAGTCATATAACTTTGCAGTAATGGGTAAAGGTAATAGAATCTGATCATTAAATTTTACGTAATGGTCATGTAATGAGTAATGGAAGATTTCAAAAGTAATGAGTAATGGAAATGTAATTAATTACATTCCGAAAATCATGTAATGGTCAATTACATTTCAATTACATTTAATGGCGCATTCTTTGAATGGCATTTAGTAATTAGAACATAATCAAATAACGCACTTTTATGAAATAACAATTACTATGGTTTATTTCACTGCAACGTTTCAACAAGATTTCACAAGTCGTTTTCAAGCATATATACACAAATAAATAAAATGAGAAAGATATGAATATATATATATAAACATCAGTGCGAACTATCCAATGGTATGCATGTCTTTAAATCTGATTGATTAAATGCTAAATTAGCACTAATCTTTAAATAGTAATAAAATGTAATTATTTACTTTCAATGTAATGGGTAATGAATGATATTGCTAAAAATGAGAAAGTAATTTCAATGCAATTGGTACTGTAATAATAATAATAATTTATTATTTATAATGCGCCTATTACCAATATAAAACACTCAATGCTCAATGGCGCAGTTAACATTTTGTGGACATCACACATAGAAAATAAAATAAAATTAAATGGATGATAAAAGAACTTAAAATGGCTTATAAAGATTATAATAAAATATGACATGTAATAAACAAATTTAAACTGTACATGTACTTAATTGGTCCCTCTTCTGTCCGGCTCATATTTTAGATGAGCCGAAACTGCTGTTATTATCTCGGCTTCATTGCAGCTCGGCTGACTGATCATTACACTATCTGAAGAATACAAAAAACTGTATATTTACTCTGTCAAATTTTGTAAATTATATAATTCAGTCCGATCAAAAAGGTGGTCCTAAAGCTGTAACAGATAATTCTGCATCCCATGAATTATGGACCAAAGGTGGCTTATTGGGTAAAACGCTGGCTCGCTTGTCTGGAGGTCGCATTTTCGATCCCTACATTTGCCGAGAAAGTTCAGTAGGCCTGACAAGGACAACTGTTAGTCGTTTGGATGGTATGAAAAACCGAGGCCTCGTGTACACATTGACGTGCAAGTAAAAGATCTCTTGGCAGTTTGAATTCGAGTAGGCCATAGTGCCGCTGCCCGGGCAAATTTTTCCTTCATTGCACGCGGTATAGCGCATGCCCATCTTCATTAGCCTAGTCTGAGCAGAACAGTAGGACGTTAAACCCCATATAAATTATATTATATATGACCCAATAACACATTCTATATGAGACATCGCTTGTGTTATTACTTTCATATTCTCCATAAATTTGTACGTGTAAGAAAGGCATGGGTGTTAAATTACAAAAAAGATAGGTT